GATAAAATCGATATCGATCGATACGAAAAGTAGCCTATGACACCCGCCGGGGCCCTAAGTGTATGTGTGCCAAGTTTGGTCCGGATCGGCTCAGAAATGGAATTTTCTATTCGGAACATACGTACACACAGACAGACAGACAGACAGACAGCCAGACAAACAGACATTCAGCTCTATATATAAGATATTCCTCTTAATGTGGAAGCTTCATAATTTTGAAAGACGATACAAAAGCTAGATTTTTACCACATTGAAATAGCAACTGTCATTTATCAACTGACTAGTTGACCTACCCGGCTCCCCCCGGCCCTGTCATTATTATATTCGTAATCAGCATGCTCGATTACCCCCCTGTGCCAACTCCCAGCCCTGTAGCTCAAATTTTGCAAAAAATCGATAAAATCGATATCGATCGATACGAAAAGTAGCCTATGACACCCGCCGGGGCCCGAAGTGTATGTGCGCCAAGTTTGGTCCGGATCGGTTTAGAAATGGGATTTTCTATTCGGAACATACGTACACACAGACATACAGACATACAGACATACAGACATACAGACAGACAGACAAATAGACATTCAGCTTTATATATAAGATTCAGCATCGCATCGATCAACTAATAAATCGTGGATGTAACAACAAAATCAAAAGCGCAGCAGAGCAGGACGACTTTTGCCTGGAAAAGGTAATCGATTTAAAATTACGATTTATTATTGCAAAAACAACGGTAGCACCTGTGTAAACGTGCGTCATCTATAGCCTATGCAGTTTACTATTTATGCTAAAGTTGAGGAAGGAAAAACATAATCAATCTTTTATGGTATGGTGTCGGTAGTTCTATTCACTAGGAAGGAAGCTCTCTGTCACCAGCAAATCGTGAAACTGATCTTCTTTAGTCAAAAACAAACTAGAAAGAAAAATAAAGAAAAGACCACAAACACAAACTCCAATTTCCGTTTCGACTTAGTACTTGAAATAAACTTACGGTTTCCCCTGGATTTCTTCGAATGTGCGAAGGCCTACGTTATTATAAAAAAAGCACTCCTTTTTTTTCTCGCCTTGTGTAGCTGCAGTCTTTAAGGATGCAGATGGAAACTGAACTCCTTTGTTTTCATTATTATATATCGCGGTGTTATAGTTACAGCATGGAACCTTTATAGAGTGTCTGGTGTATGAATGCCATTTCAACGGTTATATATCAACTCTTACAGTTAGTAGTTTGGTGTGGAACTATATAGTCTGGAACTTCAAAACTAAATTCTTGCCGGAGAATGAATCGCCCCTGGCATTGCTTTGAAAATTTTCACAATCATTTGGTAGAACTGACAAGGGAAGGATGGTCAGTCAAAGTGGCCTTTTGCAATGATTTGTATACAATTGGAGGGCGTAAAATGCTGATTCAAATCTCTCCTTCTTATCTGCGGAGCGTTCTTGGACGAGGAGTCATGAGCGTTCAAAAAAGCAAGAAATGAATGTTTTTCTGGGATAAAAACAGTTGCAAAAATTTTTCTAGCGCTTGAATGGGACAGCCGGAGTGCGGATATATCTCATCCAAGAGTTTTTATTTTATAGAGTGCTGGAAAAATTACCACTGGTCCGTTTAAAAGCTAGGAAAAATGTTACCACTGTTTTTATTTTATTTGCACAAATTTTTTTCTCCAACGCTCATAACTTCTCGTGTAGGAATGCACCGCAGATAACTAGACAGGTTTGGAATCAGCGTTTTATGCCCTCCCCCCCCCCCCAACACAATCCATCCAAAAGGCCATTCGTCCAACCATCCTTCCCTTGTATGTTTCCACCAAACCGGCGGGTTTTAAATTTTATCACTGAGATTCGCTGTTGTCGAGATGTAAGGTGATAAATACTGTTGTGAGTCTAAGTGCTTATTCTAGGAATTCGCTGGCAAGTCACTGACAAATATAAATATGAGCATTAAGACGGTTTTTTTGCATCATTTCTACCTCATTGAAGGCAGCGTCCAAGCAGATCTGGACCTATGGGGATTTTACGTGGAAAGTACTTTTAAGGTCATAACTAGGGCACTGTCCAAGCGGCAGCGCAGGTAGTGCTCTAACGGCTGAGATATTCCCCTCGAAACCGGACCCCGCGAACGTATTCGCATGGATTCATGGCAGTTTGGCGCCCGGATCCACGCTTTGCGCCATGAATCCATGCGAAATACGGTCGCGGGGTCCAGTTTCGAGGGGAATATCCCAGCCGTTATAGCACTACCTGAGCTGCCGGGTGGGCAGTGGCTTAGTTAGGGCCCCAAAATTACTATCCACGTGAGATCTCCAGGTGTCCAGACTTGCCTGGACGCTGCCTTTAAGGATGCAAACTGTTTTGAGAAACTCCGGCCAAAACTCGGAACTAAGCCCAAGATTCATTGCCGTGATCCTATTTTATACGCACAAAAGCTTTTTGTTCCATGCAAAAACTCAAATCTAACAAGGGAACGATACTCGGTGTCAGAGGTGCGATAGGGGGAGCCGGGTCCCCCAAAAGTGAAGGTGGTTTCAGCTACCACTGGCCGGCCAAAAGTGAAGGTGGTAGTGTCGGACACTCACCTCCCAAAAACGTCGACGGGGGGGGGGAGGTGCGGGGGGAGGATAGAACGGACGAACGGAGCTATCTTTCTAGGTCTAACGTCGACCCAACGGCCCTCTTTAGGGCCACAGATACGATGAATATTAAAAATATCTATAAATTTTATTTATAAAAATTTAAAATAGACGTGTTTAGTAAATGGTGTATTTGGAAGTAGAAGTTTGTTGGACTGTACGGATTTTATTAAGCAAATTTTGTTATAACGTACAGCGAAGAAAGTAGATCGATCCAGGCAGTAACGGCCGAGAATCAGAATTTCGAATAAATAAATAGTGAAAAATCATGCAAAATTTCCACTGTTATAAATCTGTTGTTTGAAGATGTCAGCAGTTGCGACTTCATAGGTTTTAAAGAGTAAATGTTGCTCTATCAGCTAGTGAAGGAATCTGGTCGATTTAAGAGATAGTCGTTGAAAACCAGAGTTCTAAAACTTTACGCCATTTTTGCGTGTTTTTTGACTGTTGAGAGTTAAACTCTTATAAATCTTGAATCTGGAAGTGTATGATGTTGCGACTTCATAGGTTTTATAGAGTAAGGTTTGCCTTATCAGAATATGTCTTGTCCGTTCCGATCCATTGAAACACCTCCGAGATCCAGAGTCATGAAAAAGCAGGTAAAAAAGAGCTTTTTGAACTTCAACAGCTCATAACTTCTTCAGGATTGCACGAATCATGTTGCGACTTCATAGGTTAGATTCCTCTCATCAAGGGCTTTCAGATGATATATAATATGTGGGGGTTTAGAGCCTCCTGCGAATCATGACCGGGGGGGGGGGGAGACTTTTTAGGCCAAAGTCTCCCCCTGGCCCATTTTAATGTATTGGCTGGAGGCTGCCGGGGGAGACTTTGGCCTAAAAAGTCTCCCCCCCCCGGGCATATGCCGTAAGAGGCGCGAAACCCCCACATATTATATATCATCTGAAAGCTCTTGACGAGAAGAATCTAACCTATGAAGTCGCAACATGATTCGTGCAATCCTGAAGAAGTTATGAGCTGTTGAAGTTCAAAAAGCTCTTTTTTACCTGCTTTTTCATGACTCTGGATCTCGGAGGTGTTTCAATGGATCGGAACGGACAAGACATATTCTGATAAGGCAAACCTTACTCTATAAAACCTATGAAGTCGCAACATCATACACTTCCAGATTCAAGATTTATAAGAGTTTAACTCTCAACAGTCAAAAAACACGCAAAAATGGCGTAAAGTTTTAGAACTCTGGTTTTCAACGACTATCTCTTGAATCGACCAGATTCCTTCACTAGCTGATAGAGCAACATTTACTCTTTAAAACCTATGAAGTCGCAACTGCTGACATCTTCAAACAACAGATTTATAACAGTGGAAATTTTGCATGATTTTTCACTATTTATTTATTCGAAATTCTGATTCTCGGCCGTTACTGCCTGGATCGATCTACTTTCTTCGCTGTACGTTATAACATAATTTGCTTAATAAAATCCGTACAGTTTTGCTAAGCTTTACTTCCAAATACACCATTTACTAAAAACCTTTATTTTAAATATATATGCCGCCGTATACATAAATATATGCTTTCAATAATCTTTTTTGCGTTTGTTTTGCTTATTTTCCTTCTTTGTCGTCCAGCGAAAAATTTTTTATTCCAAAAGTGAAGGTGGTCACCCCGTACCAGCTCAAAAGTGAAGGTAGGGGGAGACTTGGCTCCCCCTATCGCACCTCTGCTCGGTGTCCGTGGCCTTTTGAGATGAAACGAATACCATCACTCGTCTTGGAACGCTGATTCCGAATCTGAATTCCGTTTCTGCTAATCGTGTCTCTAAAAGAAGTCACAGGATTTTCGCGTCAATGGTCGTCCAAGGAAAATGCGGTCGATGATGCCTAGCTTTCAAAAAGAAGCTTGATTGAGGCAATACAAAACTGAAAAACACAAAAGCCTCGAACCTAAACCTGCAATAACTGTTGTAGTTATCGCACTAGCCACTACACCACATCGTGGCATCGGTTTTGGCATTCCGACCATATTTTCTTTGACATGAAAATCTTCATAACTTTTTTCATAAAAGCGATTAGCAAAAAAGGAAGTCGTTGGAATCAGCGTTCTTAGGCGAGTGTAATGGTATACATCTCATCTCAAAAGGCCACGGACACCGAGTATCGTTTCCTTGTAAGTGTAATTGTTGTATGTATAGTATATAGCCCTTTGAACAAGGAAAAACGAAAAAGCATGCTCAAAGTTAGGTTTTACGATAGTTGTGTTGAAAAAGCGAATACGTTTGATTGAAGACTTTGATGAAGGTTTTGCGAAAGTTGTGTTGAAAAAGCGAATACATTCGATTGAAGAGTTTACTGAATAGTTAATAGTGCTATTTTAGGTATTGCTTAAAATGAAAGAATTGAATAAGATGGAAAACAGTGGTAATGTCGATGCGAATATTGTACAATACAGTCGAGTATTGTCATTCTTTGTGAATGGTTGCTATAGAACAAATTTTTTGTATACCCATGCAGATTAGATTCATTTATACCTTTTATGAGATTTTTCAAGTTAGCATTGTAGCTTGGCCACTTTAAACTTTAGATTCATATCCGTTGCGTAATACTGTAAAACACTAAACGAACTATGAAAGAAGAATTAGAGTGCAAATCCTTGGGCATTAGGTGCCTGTCCTTTTCAAGTACTCAGCGTAGTCAACATATCCATCTCCATTCAAATCCATGTCCGCAAGTACAGCATCTATCATGGAAATCATGTCATCTTCATTTTGTACGGGAGTACCAAGACCTAAAACCGAAAGTGGCAGGATGGTAGGATTGGGACCTTTCATGCAATTTGAGCTTCAAGATACAAATAAATAAAATTAGCTTAATGTTAAATTTAGTTTGAACCAGTAAATATTGTTGAAACTATGTAAAACTGCGGAATATTTGCAGTAAGCAATAAACTGTCTGAATTCGCGTCTTCGCTGATTATTCAATGTCCAAAACTTCCAGGACTCAAAAACGCGCAACAATTGGAAGGATTTTCTCAAACAAAGGCGTACCTGTATCCCCTTCGTGTGTATGTGTCAGAGCTTTTAATATCTCCGTGCCATCAATTCTATTATCATGATCCAAATCGTTCATTGAGAAATAATGAAACCTATAAAAGATGTTTTGGCAAAAATCATCAAAGGGGGGAGGGGGGAACGGGGGAGAGGAGAAAAACTCAGCAATAAGCTGTCTAGTTTCTTACTGCACTAAATCTGTTGTAATAAGAATCTCAAACGAAAAAAGCGAAAAATACTTTACAACAAACATGATGGCTGGTACGAATGTACTACACGCTTTATAATAGTACGAAAAAGATAAGACAGCAATTTTATTCAAGACTCTTGATAATAAGTCTTCAAATCTCAATAATATAGCATAGGTTGGCACAAAAGTTCCGTCGCACTATCTAAAATAATTATAATTTCTAATCTTCCAAATTATTTAACTGCTTTTCTTGAAAAAGTAAATTATAAAATGAATGTTATGATTTTTTAAAAAGCCAAAAAGCCAAAAAAATCAAATTTGTTGTTTCATACCGCTTCTCAAAATTCCTGAATTTTATAGAGACGCTCAATCAGCACAAACTTTTACTTAGCTATTATTAGTAGTCCACAAACCTATAATACCGTGCTCAGATTCCTAACCGAACACATAAGAATCAAAAATGGAGTGACTTTCTTTTATTTTTTTTTATCTATGCATTGTATGCTTCAGCAGAAGGCAACTAAAATACGCTTTTAAATCATGATCTACTTTTTCACAATAACAACGAACAAATCGGTTGAAAAATCAGAAGCTATGAATTTTGCATATGGTGCGACAGAACCTTCGTGCTTACCCATTATTTCAACAATGTTGTTTTAGTGGACCTCAGCTCCTAGTGACTTACCGTTTTTGTTCCTCTGTCATCTTTTCTATCTCAATCTTGTCTTGTAGATGTTGCTTAATATGCCTGTAATTAACTAATAAGAATTTCATGCAAATCTTCATAATTTATTGTTTCGAAGTTGTGTTCGAGAATTCTATCTATAAACTTTCTAAATTTGGAAAGTGATTCGAAATTCACTTAGTCCCTATGATTTAAGCGCCTATATTTTGCGCTTTTCTTTTTACTCTATGGAATCCTGAGAATCATAAACTTTTATTTTTCTTCACTGCAGTAAATTTAGCGTTTAATGACATCCTGTGGCCGTATTCATCAACGAACCCTCAAGGTTAAATTCTACCTCAGCTAGCATTTTGGCTTATAACCCGTATTCACAACATGATCGCGATGAAATTCACTCATGGGTTGAGTCTACCTTGAGGCAGAAATGAACCTTCAAACGCATAAACCCGTATTCATTATTCTACCTTGAGGTTGAATTCTAATTCAATCATCATTTCTCCACCAAATTTCCATTATGCGTCCAAGGTAGAATTTAACCCTAGGATAGCTAGGGTTGAAATCTACCTTGAATTTGCACATAAGAGTTGAACTCTTTATAAGGACCTCCTTCATTCTAATTTCTGAGGACCTTATTCTGACGCAACTGTTTTCAAGGACGAATATATTCTATCAATACTAGCTCAAATTTCACTTGTTTGCTTACACGGAAACCTTTTTTTGTCGAAGTTACCTTTTTAGATGGGATGTATAAGTTTTGAAAAGCAGAAAACATTCCAAATCTGTCTTTTTGTTTGTGGAACGTTCCTTGACGAGTAGTTGTGAGCGTTTATTGCAACACACATATACATTTAGGTTGGAGTTGCTAAATCTCACTGGTCCTCAAATAAAGCAATAATTGTAAGATATATAAGGCTGGACACTAAGTTTTGCACCTAGTTTCATAAATTCAACCTCTTTAGTTATGGCGCATTCAAACTTTGGCAATATGTAAAGAGTAATATGTGACACAACTGCGCGCAGATTGCTCAAATTTTGACATGAAATAGGAGAGTTTCGAGCATTTTTCGAAAACTAGTGAATTTTGAGAGTTTCAGGAGTTTGAAGCTAAGATGAAGCCGTTACCAGCCTAGATCATGCGCAGTGATCCGGAATCGTGTACGAATTATGGCTAGAAGTTGACTCATTGGCTTAGTAAGAAATAAACAAAATTTAGGGGCGCCGAGATTTGGCGCCCTCACAAAGTCGACCAAGTCGCAGTACGCAAGGGCTGCTGGGGACGACCGTCAATGACTAAAGAGTCAGAAGCTCAATTTTCGCCGAGACTTGACATAGTAAGACTACTTGACCTATCAGATACGAATATCATATTCATTGGTTATATAACGCCTCTTTCCTTGTTCAGGGTGGGACCCTATATTTATAGTAACCTTACAAAAAAGCCTTTATCACGCAAAGTCATTGTCATTTTTGTGATCAGCATGTCGGATAACACCTATACCAAGTTTCAGCTAAATCTGTCGTATTTTATATTTTTTCATTTTATACCATACCAGCATATCACCTCCGCTTCGCGGAGTCCGCACTGGTTCCCTATCCATATGCTTTTCTCAGGTTCGCATGAGAATGGCTTTGAAACTTACTACGCGATGCTGAGCATCACAAATGAATTGTAAACAACATTCATGAAGCATCTCCATGTAAGATCGATAATTTTGAGAAAAAAACTTCGTTGCAAGGAATCAAATGCAAATTCAAACGGATTACCAAATTTATTTTAGTTTGATAATCGGCATAAGGATAATAGTCATATTGGGCTACATTTCAGTGCAAAAAATCTTTTCAGTTTTTTCAAATAAAACCTTGCCAAATCCACTATCTACGCGTTCATCACTTTTTGGCGCTGTTTTCGCAAAAAAAGCAAACTTTTTGAGCACTTTTTGGGCTACAATTCATGCCGCGCAGAGTGACTTGTCAGGCAAACCACAACTTTGCAAAAAGTCGAATTAGCGACCCAGTTTTGCGTGCCAAAAGGCGCGTGGACCCGTTTGACGCGCAAATTTTGAGGGACCCGCTTGAACCGGCTCGTCCTTGTGCATGGTGGGCCTACACGCTGGCACGGTATGTTATGCGAGATTGTAGCTCGATAGCTTAGTTGCAGCTTCCTCTATGAATTTCGTGACAGACAGATTTTCACACAGACACACAGACACACACACAAAAAAAAATAGATGGTCTTAGCGCGTTATTATAGTAGGATACCTAGCTTAACCTTATTGTGAAGCTAGAATATGGAGAACAGCAGCTGCGCTTGTAGCTTACGTCACAGCCTACACAATCGCAAAATTTAAGTGCCTATGTCGAGAGAGAGGAAGCATTAAATGAGTTGAAAAACTTAGTTTCCAACTATTTGATTATTGGAGTATCTATTAAATAAAGTACTCTAATGATTATCATTGCTTCATTGAAGCGCTAGAAAAATATATTGCGACCATTTTTGTCCTTCTTGCACATCCAATTTCCGCTCCAAAAAACGCTCATGCTTTGTCCATAAATTCCGCAGCTAAGAAAAGCAGTGGCATCAGCGTTCTAAGCCTTTTAACATGGTATCAGAGCCCAGCACGACGGTGGCAAATAGACACCCATCAAACGACTTCGCCTTCGCCACTGTCAATTTTTATGATTTCCCACTTGATCTCGCCAGTTGCGTAGGTTGTTCGATTGGGCGATTCCCTCCTCAAAAGGACCTGCCTCTTGCTATTCCGGATCCTAACAAAGAGGTGAGGAGGAGTTTTGGGACCAAAGTTTTACATACTAAACTATGAGAGTGAAACAGAGTTATGTAAAGATTTTGGAAACTTAAGTTAATCTTTGCGGTATTTCCGCTTCATATGATACAGCTCAATTCTAACTCTACTTATACTCTGATGGCTATGAAGCGTGTTCTTCTTCCTAATGTACACGGTGTCCCAAAAATAAGTACTCACTCTTTGATCGTTAGTAACTCTCTTCTCAGGAAGCCTTTTGCTTAGCTGCAAGTACCATGCAGTAGTGCAGGCTTCAACTTAGGTTTATAGTATGGAGCAAAACACCTATGGCTCTTAACTGCTGTATCGGTAGAAAAATATACAGCGCCATTTCGAAATAGGCCAGCGAAAAAAGCTTCCAAAAAGCTGGAAAGTTGTGTAGCAGTGTTTCAGAAATGCTAACATAATTAGATAACCTTGCTGAGAGTTTTTATGCGTTCCAGTTGGTTTAGATTTTGAAGCACTGAAAAAAGGCAATTGGTTTACTTGGCACAAGTTATGAAAAAAAGCCTTCTGATAAATTGGAAACTTCACATATGATCAGCGACTCTGTTTCGTCTTGTGATAAAGTTTTCAGCTTGCTGAGTATCCATTTTAGGCCAGAATTCATATATTGATTTCAACCATCAATGTATAAGTTTATATAAATTTGGTAGGAAGTTAAGGAGGGTTTGACTTTATTTGAAACCCTCCTCAACTTTCCTTTCTATTGTAGTACTACAGTAATGAAGAGCTATAGGTGCTTCGCTCCATACCAGCAATCTAAGTTCAGTCCTGCTTTACTGGATGGCTATTTAATCTGATTGAAAGACTTTGTGTGAGAAGAGATATTAACGATTAAAAGTGTGTACAGGGCTTTTCAACATAAGAGTCACAGCCTCCGCTTGCGCGGCTCCTCCAACGCGGCCGCCCCGCTCAGGCCGCGCGCGGCGTTTGCGGCGCATCGCCCGGGCTTTTGCCAAGCTTCAGTCGACGCGCAGCCAGCGCCACGAATGCTGCGCGGACCTAAGCATGGCGGCCGAGCGGGGCGGCTGTGACACTCAGGCTGTAAAGCCCTGTACTAACATTTGAGACAACCGTATATCAATTGCCACGTCCAATCATGTTGAAACATGATTGCTTAGTTCCTCAGAAGACTTTCCTGCCAAAACATGATAACGTGCACCTACAAGATATACGGCACTATCAACTTGGCAGTCAGAAAAACACTAGCAGTAGAAGATTTCATGCACCGCTGATACGTCATGGCATGTTCCGAATAAACGTCAGTGAGTACTCTGCTTTCTACCAGGTAGATTTTAACCTCAAGGTAGATTTGTGAATAGCAAAGTTACCTTGAGGTTAAAATCTACCTTGAGGCGTGCTCTCAAAGTAAAATTTAACCCCAAGGTTCGTTGATGAATACGGCCACTGATTATCAATGTAACATATGATATCGTTTCAGTTTGCTTTGAATCATGATATGACTCACCCTTCATCATGAATTTCTTCATTGCGTGCAAAATAGGTGCTGCCAACACAATGAACATTTGCTGAAATAAAATAATTACGAAGCCATCATGTGATTCAATTCAAATATCCGTTTTCGCTGTTCATCCTTTAAAGAATCTCATTTAGATTATGAAAAGTTTTAGCAAATTACAGATTACTTCCCGGATGCAAGCTAATGTCGGTACGCTATAGGCAGATTTTTTTGTGAATAGTAAAGACTTTGCTTCTAGGTCTGCTAAGGGTTTAATATCAGGGATTTGTTGCATTCTAGTGAAGCGCAAATTAAATAGCTCTTACTTTAAAATTTGCATTAAGAATTATGTGAATCGGGCTAGTTTATTCGTGGTGTCAGGAGATTCTGATTAAAGTCAAAGATTCAAGTGGCAGTAAATATAGCGAAATCTATACCCACACGTAAACAAATCTTTGTGCAAGCTGAGAGGCAAAAGTATGCCGAAAACTGCACTTGCAACTGCTTTTACTTTGCAGTATCACTTACTTCCTGCACTCGATCAAGAAAGCGCGCAAAATTTACAATATAAAAACTAACGCTAAATTTCTAGTTTACCGGAAGCTTGGAAGCCTTTATGTCATTCTTTCATACAAAGGATAAGACGCAAATTCTCAACTCGCAAAGATTTGTTAAGCCTCTCAAGAATCTTTTCGGGGGCATGACCAGAGTGCGGCACGGGCTCTGAGCATGAATCAAGAATATGTCTGCTCGCACCCTTTGCATCCAATCACGCTTGGAAAGCTAATAAAGCAAATACTAGTCGTAGAATTACCGTGTTGGGAACAAGTCGTAAAATGCTGCGCATGGTGTGCAATGCACAAACTGAGACACAAAGGCTTAACTGCACACACGCACCGTCAAATTCTCAACAAATTCTTCCTCGGAAAATTTTCTGGACGAGGCTGCACGGCGTGCAGCTGGGCCCTACTATTCATTGCTTATGACTGGCTATGCGAAGAGAAACCAAAAAGCTTTTAATTTAGCCAAAAGTGTACTTGCACGGATCGTGATATGCGATACAAGCAGCTCAACTCACCGCTGATAAGCCAGGTGATTGTGACAACAGCGGCGGCACGCATACCACCGAAACTGATAGCAAGACTTCTGAAATGATCAATATTGGCAAGACTGAACTAATTATGCCACGTCATCTAAGAAATGAGAGAAGGTGAAGCCGACGTTGAGAGACTTTATCATAAAGTTCTAGTCGTAAAGATTGGGTAAGTTTCCCATTTCCTTAGTAGCGGTTTCGGGGTTTCATTCCTGGGGGTAAGGGGGGAAGGTGATGGCGAGAGACGAAAATTTCTTTCGAATGAAGACGTGATAAGCCACACACTCCGAAAGATTTTTTGGGAAGCTTCTCAGACTTTTAGCGGCGTACTCTGAGATTTCAGGGGAAGAGGGCGCGCGGTTTTTTACAAAACTAGTTGGAAGTTCCAACTAGTTTTGTAAAAAATTGTAAAATTGTAAATGTAAAAATTGTAAAATTCCAACTTGGAATTTTTAAAAGCGTTCAAGTCGCTTTGATTATCTACAAGTATAAACAAGTTACCTGCACACTTTTATATCATGCATTCCCCAAAATTGTTCCCGTGTGAACCTTCCACCTGGCTTCCTTTCAATCGTTTTAACACGTTGTCTACAGGAAATTTGCGGCGCTTATTCGAAGTTGACATGTCAAAATGATCGAAAGACAGTCAGGTTGATGGCTTATATGAGAATAATTCTGGGGAATGCACCATATCTCGTGTGGGTAACTTTTAAAGATTTCGGAACCATTCGCGGGAAGGGAGGGGTACGCCCTCCATTGCTTGCAACTAAGGAATGGAGCATCCATTTTGATCATAGATTTGTGGTCAAACTTCATTTTCTAACAAACCAGCGATGACATTTTTGGGAAGTTGTTGCTCGGCTTTCTTTAGGCCATTTACAAGATATATTATACTGCATAAGGTACTTTGTAAATTTTATTTATTGATGTTCTTTCGCAATCGTTTGATTTTCAAATATAAATTTCAGGTAAGGGTTTGTAGAACAGTACTCAAGCCTTCTAATGTCGCTTTTGATTTCCATGGATGATACAGACTGTTTAAGCGATAAAATAAATAATAATTCACAAACCAGAGAAGATTTTCAACAACTCGCAGTTCTTTTTTCTGTCCAAATTTTAGCACTAAACAAACTATGTCCAAATTTCAAGTGGGCAAAATGACGCCTATGTCGACTTCAAACTCGCAGCAAATTTCTGTGTAGCAATGCAGCGCAGCGCTTTCATGGCATAAATCTGCACAAATAAGTCAGTTTTCAAGCCAATTTTTTTCTGCTGCGCCCGCTAATGGGTCGAAATGAAGTGCTGAAGACACAACATTTTTGATGAAGTTTGCATTTCTCAATAAGAACTAAAATGCTTGAAGTTGCAGCAATTCCGAAAATTTTCATGGATAACTTCGAACTTTCTACTTTCTTCACAATTCAATAATATTAGTGAAAAAGTGATGTTAACGCTTTCCCATGGTATGAAACAGGCAACTAGAGCAATGATACTGATCTCAATGCTTATGCGCATTTTGCTGGGAAAATATTCAAAACTTTCTCAAAAAATCGTTTCGCATAATGAAAATAGAATTGCGTTTTTACTGTAGTAATCTGCATTGACCGCGGTCAGATACTTTCGCTCTTTAGAAATGTGCCAAAAAAGGACCTATAGACAAGTTTCAAGCTTATGGCTGGTTTCAATCAATCGTAGGTGAACAATAAAAAAAGAACTGCAACTGATTTCAATGCAAACGCCGTTTGGAAATGTCTGCGTATCCAATGGCGGCTGATCAAACAATTTTTAGACAATGAAAAAGCTGCAAACAAATTTTCCCCATTGTTTTCTTTGATCTGTATAACCTACGCCTCCTATTGTCAAAATTATACGGTCAGGGATTTTGTGTGGTACACAGCAAGTTTTTCTACCCATTTTATTGGTCATGATAAAATTTCTCGAGAACAACAATCACTGCAACAGTAGTGATAATATAAGCTAAAAATAGAAAATCATTGAAAATAGAAAATAGATAGAGTAACAAATACATAACGATGATTACACTCCGGCTATTTTACAACTCCTCTTTCGTCATTACGGCCACATATTCATTGTACTCAATGTAGCCATCCAAATTTTTGTCAAAGTGTTTCAAAACATCGTCGATTATAGTCTCTATCGCTTCATCAGTCATCGGTTTCGGTGCATTTTTCTCTTCTAAACTGGAGAACATCATCCACAGAGTTCAGAGATAAGGTAGCTTACCTTTTTCGTGATAGTGATACATGGACTTGATGACCTCTAAGCCATCTAATTTAGTATCCCTGTTCAAGTCATGGATGGAAAAGTAGTGGAATCTGCAAATTATGATATACTGAAGTTGGACGAGAAAAACAGCAGGAAAGAATTTGCCTTTGTCCTCATAATCTGCATGGATAATATACTGGCTCTAAGCTCGTACTTTAGTATGGAAAATGGCTAATGAAAGAATGGTCAAAAGTCGAAGCGGCCAATCCAAGCAAGCTGCCTACCTGTCAATGCAAAATTCAAGTGATTTCGAATCTGTTTTCCATATCTGCTTACCGCCTTTGTGGACAAAGCTATGAGCAGTTTTGATGCGAAGAAATCCCACATAAAAGTTGCGAAATTGAGCTCATTATTGCACTTTTAGCTCATCTTTAGGCTTTAAAAATATAAAATAATTCATCGAAAAAGTGGCCCAGGTCTCAGCTTAGATGTGCGAATGATCCAAAGCACAGCTAGGCGATGAGCTGCCATTGTTTAAGTGAGACTGTGGCCACGCCAACGGTCCTACTTATTAGGGTGTCCCAAAAATATGCACACTGTTTCTTGTAAATAGCTTTCTTGCTTTCATATCTTTTGACGAGTTTGAGGTATCATTCTGTAAGAGATTCAGATTAGTTCTGCAGTATGGAACCAATCTCTGATTTTTCTTCTTACTATAGGATTACGGCAAATACTTCGAGAAGGATTTTAGGCCATTGAAAACGATATTTTGCCTCAGAAAAAAAACCGAACGAGCCAGAAACTCTACAGGGCTAATTGAAGTCGCTGATTCTAATTATGGAACATGCGCTTCACTGTAGTAAGTTGTTTCGGGTTTAGGGCAGTAACTGTTTTTACAATGTTTGTCGAAAATGTGACTACATCACTAAAAGAGATCGAAAAACTGATAAGAAGTAGTGAAACTAGTACACCCGAAAATCTTGCTACAGCATTTTCCAGATTTTTTTGAATTTTTTCTCATTTAAAGGGCTATTCCGCAATGGCGCTGTACGCTGAAAAAAGTCCATACCGTAATCCTACAGTAATGAAGAACGATTGATGATCCGCTACATACTGTAAATCTACCATACTGTAAATCTAAGTTGAACCTCCTTTACAGAATGGTATTGGCAAAAAATATGGCAAGAGAGTTTTTAACGATGAAACGGTGTGCACATCATTTTAAGGCACGCTGTAGAAGGAATACACCTCGTTCTGTGTTGCGTTCGTTTTCATGAGTAAATGGTAATGATGACAGTAGTGTTTTTGACTGTAGTTCATGCCACTAAAGTGGATTTAATCTACCCTATTCTTTATTTTACCCTATTTATTTTTTTTTGTATGAGCCGCACCCTTTTTGCTCTAAACGCGAGCAGACCCAGGCGTGCCGCAGCGCGTATGTCTCGCGAAGCGGTCGCCTTATCGCATACTACTCTCACTTAACGCGCTCCATGATGACAGACAGTCTTTTGGCGTGTTCACCTTTGGAGCGAAAAGGGTGCGGCTCATACACCTGAAAATAGGGTACTTCATTGTTCTCTTTTGTCGTGCATTTATTTTTGGTCATGTAAGAAATGGCATTCATGAAACTAATCATGAGTTTGTAAGGATCGCATAGAAAATAGATAACGTAAAGAGTAGAATTTTTTCCATATTTCACATGATCAAAGTTGTTTTTCAATTTGAATTCAGTTTGAATAGCGCAAGTCGAGTACTGCACTAGAAAAAGTTTGCTTCATTCTTGTCACCAAAGCCTTCAAAGTTTAGAACAAATTTTAGAATCAAATGTTGATTAAGAGGATAAACTCAACAATTCAAATGAACATGAGAATCAGCAAAAACCTAGTAGGAAAAAATTTGCCTCGGTTATTATTATTGCCTCTTCTCTAAGATCATCACAAATGATTTTCAGAACGGCCAAAAAATGGCACAAACTTCAAGAGTATCCAATATTTTGAAGAGCATTATACTAATCGAAACTGATTAATGGCGTTGTCTGCTTTAAAGCAAGTGAGCCCCATAATCATGTAACTCACCGTTTTTGCTCTTCTGTCATATTCTCTACATCTATTTTGTCATGAAGATGCTGCTTGAGGTGCCTGTGCCAAGATATTATGCTTCTACTTCGTTTTTCAAAGTTGCCATGAAGGCTTACTGAACTCACTCTTCGTCTTGAATCTCTTTCTTTGCGGCGAACTTTGTTTCTTGGCCTGTGTTGTCTAGACAATGTACATTTGCTGTAAAAAGTGCTTTATTGCAGCTAAGAAACGATGTTTTCTGATTTTCTGGAATCTGCAAAGCTTTTAAGCAATCGTAAATGTACCCCTCTGGATTCCATGTCAGTCACTGAGACAATTCTTAGTAATACATGTACTTGTATTGAGTTAATTGGCTTAGAACAGCTACTTACCTATGAACCAGGTAACTGTCACGATAGCAGTAGTACACATGTCGGCACAACCAAAGCGTTCTAAAATGAACAAACAGAGATCTGTCACTTTGTCATGCAATCCCCAAACTGAGCGGTAAAACGGAAACTCTAGAGATTTTACGAGAAGCGAGCGCCAGTGTTTACTGCCCTGATCACACAACTACAAGGCACCTGTTTTTTCTGAACTCAACCTTCCTGAATACAATAAAAAATTTCGCGATCAAAAGAACCTCTACCGCGCTGCTCCTTACCTAAAAATTGTGGGAGAGCGAGGCACAGTAATGCGGCCGAGCTGGCTTCTTGAAAAAAGGAAAAGAGTGCTCTTTACTCGTGAAATCAAGGTAAGTTATGTGGTTTATCTCATCGCGAACGTCTTGACTACTCGCGTAACCGCACATAAACACTTTTCAAACAGTACGCAGTGGTTGATGCGATAACTGTTGCCCGTACATAAATCGCTGCTGACATGTGCTAGTTTTCAACACTCAAAGTGATCATGAGCAGCTGAAGGTATCTTCTATTTTAGCCGTGTGGGGTACGCGATATTCGGGGTGGTGCAAGGAGGCAGCGACTTACTGATCAGGCAATTCGTGGACCCTATATGTTCATTAAGTAGTCGCAGAGCGCTCATTTTCTTTGTTTGAAAAAGGTCAGATACGCTCAAAACACACGCCCACAGCTTGTATACTCAAAAATCGCGGATTTGACATATGAGTAGCATTAAGTTTGAAAATATATGCTGACACACCAAGCTCTCTGATCAATTTATTTGGAAAACAGTACCAACCCAACAATTGATAGCATGTTAGTCTAGATGAAATTTATTTCCAACTTGCTTAAAGGCAGTTTCCGGGCAAAAACTCGATTTTGGGATCTTGTACTTATACGGACCTATTTGCCATACTGAATCAGAAAATCCACACTGAAAAGCGCAAAAACCTTCAAAAAATGGCTCTAACGCAGGAGGGAAACAGTAAGCGGGGTCCCCCTCACTGTGAGTTCACGCTCCCAGCTTCCGGAACGTTTTCTCGATTCCGCTAGCCGTCCCAACATCGTTACCGGCCAAGTGCGGATGAACTGACTTGAAACCGGAAGCGAGAAGATTGCTTTAGAAGCTAGGGGCATGAATTCACATTGGGGAGGACTTTGGCCACTTGCTAATTTCCCTCCTGTGTTAGAGCCGTTTTCCGCCGTTTTCGCGCTCTCCAATGCGCATTTTCGGATTCAGCGTAGCGATTAGGCCGGGTAAGCGCAAAATCTCAAAATCGAGTTTTTGTCCGGAAACTGCCTTTTAGGCTTAAGGCATACCTCGCGCGATTCCGGTCGCTGCGCGATTTGGCACAACAGCGACTCTTCGTAATTCGTCGTTAATGCGCTGCCTTTGGTCAGGACTTGCCCTGTTTGCAACAACTTATACAAGCTACCCAAATATGCGTCCGAGAAGTACGTATGATAAATTTATAGAAATCTGGCAAATCGCCATGTCGCGTGAAAGTGGCGATTCGGCCGAATCGCATGAGGTATGCCTTAGGCCTTAGGCCTTAAGGATCGGCGAGAGCAGGGGCGGCGCGAGGATGGGGCAAATGTTAAGCTGGAGATAGTACTGGGGGGGGGGGGGGAGTAGAGGGTTTGTGCTAGGCTTCGCATATTTGTGGAGGATTTATGTGACTGAAAGATGTGGTAGGTTTTGGAAATTTCCCTCACTGAGATTTGCAAAAAAGAATAATTTGCAACGCATAGGTAACAATATGGCTCTAAACTTAGCATGTACATGCGCAGCGCGGAACAAGAACAAAGCATGAAATTATATAAAAAGACTTGTGAACGAAGAACTTTTTGCAAACTTAGGATAGCAATTTCCACTCTAATTCTGTCTCCCAAAGGGTAGCGCTATTAGGTCTTTTCATAAGTTCGTAGCGTTTTCATTCTCGTGCTCGCTTGAGAGAATGATTTGCGGAGATCCATATATCACTGAGAAAAGCTGATCATGCTCTTCATAATGAGCTTATTAGTTGCAATGGAAAGCTGATTTACTTCCATTTTTCTCCCAAAGGTGAAATTCTGAAGAGGGGGGAAGGTAAAAAATTTTTGCACTTCAATATGAGACAAAAAGGTGATGAAATGCTTTGCAAGGATTGGGCAGTTTGTCAGGAACAAGACTTCTCGCGAGACGGACAGGAAGTTCTACAAATTAAATATTGCTAGACAGAAACAAAACGGTTTTCCATGCTTACGCAATCCAACTGCACCGTTCAAGCACAAATTCTTATTGCTGAAACAGCCCAATATAGGCGCTGAGTGAATTTTTTTGGATGGCAAAATATGGTTCCGTACGGCAAATGTCAGAAGCGTCCTGCAGTTTTGAGGAAAAGCTCGGTTCTGAAGACGGTCTTAGGCGAAGGGTATACGAACTTTTTGAGATCGGACCTGCTGAGATTTGGAAAACTGAGTGAAAAATCTACAGCAAGTGGCAGAAAGTTGTGCGCAACAAGCGAAGATAGCACATTATTTGCTGAATTTTGATAAGATTTTGTCATTTTCTTGGTTTTTGGAAACGCTACGAACTTATGAAACAGCCTGATATTTTCAGTTCACATATTTACACATAATCAACTGCCTGCGTTAGTTCGCGGAGGTTGACTGAAATCGCCAAATCCTCTATCCTCTAGTCTCAAAGGCAGTGTCCGGGCAAGATGGGGGTTTTGGGATTTCGGTGCCATGCGAAAGTGGCCCCCTCACACACAACATCGCGCAAGTGCGACGTCATAACGCTCGGCCTAAAGCAAGAAAAACGACTGGAAAGTGGGGAAATTACGCCTTGGGGCGGGGTCCTCCGAGCTGTCCGAATTTCTGCTATGCGGCAGAGTACGCATGCCGCCACAGTTAAAATGTAGGGTCCTGCACCGACTCTGCGTCTCTGTCTTGGTGGGGACCGTCGAATTTCAATTTGTGCGACTTTGGAAGACGTATTTTCTCGCCGTTTTCGCCCCTTTCAATGTGGATTTTCGGATTCAGCGTTGCGAATAATCCCCGGTAAGTGGCTTTTCTAAAAATCGAGTCTTTGCCCGGAAAGTGCCTGTAACGTGTTCTACACCTCAGTTTACTGACATCTTGGGCACAAAACTCCCCTCTTTTCTTTGTTCTCGATTATTTTTTAAATAGAACGCTTTACTGAAATCGTATCTCCAACGTATAGTGTAGTGCCATGCGGCAGTGGAGCTACGCTATCTGCAATGTTCATTAAGAATTCCTAATTGTGCTCACTTATATCGATCTTTGAGATAGCAATTGAAAGCGGTTATTTACATCAGTGAGTCGACCAGAGCGAAATATGGTGACAGTTTTACCCGTACTGCTTTGCAAGCACTTTTCCATCTGCATTGGGCACCCTTTTTTGCCATGGGAAAATGTTACCCCTAGGCCCTGGCCTAACTCACGCGATTTCGTCGCGAAGCGATCTACTAGTTTGGACAAGAGTTCCACCCTACGCCGTCAAATGAGTGGGCCCCGACGCATTTGTGATGGCTGTTCGGCACAACGAAATGCTATGCCACGTGATCTGGCAATTTGTCGTATGTCTTCAAATTCAATGCTGGCAGACCCCAAATGCACAGCATGTATAACTGTTGATAAAGTGCCCTATCTTCCGTACATTCAAAAACCCCTTACGATGAGCTATAAGCGATTGGAGTACTGCCAAACCGCGTCGCTACTGAAATCGCTTGAGGTATGCCCACTCAGACAGCGGATCGGACCCCTCCGCCGGAGAAGTGGCAGGGTCGCGGCGTATCCCCAGCGGTGGGTCTCCCATTTGTCCGGCGGAGCCCTCCCATTTTCTGCTCCGGATACCTCCCATTTTCTGCTCCGGAGGCCTCCCATTTCTGCTCCGGACCCCTCCGATTTTCTCCGGCGCGTGTCTTCCAAATTTGGCGGACACGCGCCGCGCAGACCTCTGCGGCGCGGAGTCCGTCAAATCTGGCAGAGTCGCGCCGGAGAAATGGCGGACCTTTGCAGCAGGGCCGGAGAAGCCTCCCATTTGCCTGCCAGTGATGCCACCGCGATGGACCGCCCATTTGCCCTTCTCTCATTGGTCAACTGGGTCCGGCGCGACCCTGGCAGTTTCCGAGGGTCCGGCGGAGGGGTCCGATCGATTGTCTGAGCAGGGGTTTCAAGGTGCATAGCTCACTCGAACTCGTCGCGATGTTGCGTCTCCCATTTGCGACGAACGACGGGCGCCTTTCGCGCCGATCCCGAACTGCATTTTTGAGATTTATCATGCACTTTATTATTGTTGACGAGTTATGACCAGGGTCAAGCGTGAATGCGATCCGAGGCCCTCTTTTATGACCCCCCCCCCGCCCCTCATGTTCACGCTTTTTCAGTAACCTGCATTATTTAATGTCAATCTCTTCAAAGAACGTCAAAAGAGCTTACCTAAAAATCATACATCAGAGAAGAAAAGTGTGCTAACAAATTGGGAGATAGTGCAAGTAATGAAGCGTAAACCTTTCAAAATATTTGTGTAGCTTGGGTAAGTAGGAAAATTCTAAAGGTTCGGTGTGCTGTATCGTGGTCACGAAAAGATGGATGGAAGGATATCAAATGATAAAGAAGGACATCTATTTTAGTCTGATATCGAGTAAGCTGTGATTGTTGAATTATAAACATGAAATGGAATAAAATAGGAAATTTGGAATACGGAGGTAATTATCTACAGTCGATATAATTATCTTATAATAATTTCTTTTGGGGACAGGTGAGAAATTCCTCTGCGATTTGTGAGTGCTTGGTACAACTCATTCATGTTTGAGTGACTGTGCTAAAAGAGATTAATAATGGTTCTGGAAATAAGTACGCTTCAGGCTACAGTGATAGTTTTGGGTTCAATCCCCGTGTGCCACAATTTCCTGCAGGAAAAATGCTGTTCTTGTAGTTCACAAAGTGTATGCAGCTGAGAAAATCAATTTCCACTTTCCGAACTGATTTTCCTCAGAAAAAATTTATAACGATGCCAAAAATGCGCATGAGCACCGTATTTTG